TATATACACAGTACATGTATACGGTTTCCATATTTTCTTTAATTACAGAGGGTTTGAGTTACTGCAGTGTTCTCTCGGGCTACACTAATACCACCAGGTAAAATGGCGTCAAGTGGAAGCCAACACACTGAACAACTCAAAGACAAAGTCTGTGTCGTTACCGGAGCCAGCTCTGGGTTAGGGGAGAGCATCGCCATCATGTTCGCCCAGAGAGGGGCATCTGTCACCTTATGTGGCCGGAATGAGGACAGGCTGCAGGCCTCCTTGACCTTGTGTGTTCAGGCCAGTGGAGGTCAAGCTGACCGCTTTTTGGCCGTGAGCGGGGACGTTGTCGACCCCTCTGCAAGGAAGGCGATTGTGGAGAAGACGGTAGAGAAATTTGGACGTCTGGACGTGTTGGTGGCTAATGCTGGTGTAACCGATCCTCAAAGTGGTATTCTGACTGCCAGTGAAGAAACTTTTGATAAAATCATGAACACGAACGTAAAAGCTGTGTTCTTCCAGATTCAAGAGGCGGTGCCACATCTAGAAGCAAGTAAAGGCAACATTATCGTTGTTTCATCCATGTCGACACTCATGGCGTGCTCACCCAACATTGTGTATCCGATGTCAAAAGCGGCAGTTGATCATATGACCCGATGTCTTGCTATCGACATGGGACCCAAAAACATCCGGGTCAACGCTGTGAATCCTTCCCTTATTCCAACAAGAATTCGCAGGTTCGTATTTTGTCTTGGCTTGGGCGCCATGAGAAGTGTTGTATATATTATTGATGCAAAATTAATTGGAGTAGCTTTTGCTGTAAATACTGCAATTTAAGAGTTTAAAAAAACTAGGTGAATGTTGTATCAAAGTGTGCACTTGAGGGAAAGTAACGAATCTTTGTGAAAGTTGTTCGTTTTGTAAGGGTATACGCCAGGAAGAAATCATGAAAAGACGGGAGAACTTGTTGTCGTAGAGTCTAAATTCTGATCAAGTAAAATCCAGAGGCTTTAGGGCGGATTTTGACTACGCCACATTTCCACTTTAATTTGATAACGTACTGACACAGAGAGATAAAATGCTAACTTACAAGAACGAATGACCGTGAATGGGCCAGACTCTGAAAGAGAAAGAGAATTAGATCTATGTCGCTAGTCCACACAAAACCCTTTCCCTTCTCTCCGACATAGACGAAGTATGGAAAGAGGGCTAAAAAATAATTCATATTCAGAACTTCCCATTAGTCCCATGCAACGATTTTATTCTCCGTAATGGATATCGGTAAACTGCACGATCTCATTAACCGCCCCCCCCCCTCACCTTCTGAACCCTCTCCCATTGTTTTCAGAGATTTCGCTCCCGATGAAGAAACTTTGGATAAGCTGTACGCCCAAGCACTTGTCGCAGAAATTTCAAAACAGGTCTGTAGTCGCAAGTCCACGTTTTGTGTGTTATCGTTGTACCCCACCCCCTCTGTTTTCTGCTCTGCACTAAACTGCTGTAAAGAATACTTTTTAGTTTTACTGTAAGTCGTGATTTTGGTGACCAATAATCATATTATTTATTTAAAACGACTTGCAAGAAAGAAAGTGTACCTTTTGTATAGAACCCCCCCCAAACCCCACACATACACGTTTTGGCCCTCAAATCTTAAAATCAACTTGCTTTGCGGAGGTTCAAATCCAGGTGATGGGAGTTCGAAATCAATTTAATCATTTTTTTTCTAGAAGATCCCGTTTGAATGTACAACACCTGTTAAGATCACCCGATTCTTTGGCGGGGCAAAAAACTTAAATAAATTTTAAAAGGACAATGAAAACCCTTCTATTTTTAACTTAAAACGTTCGAACATTGGTCTAAGGGGTACCTTCTACTTCACCTATTCTGTTGACTGGATGTCCGTTGGAGCGCTTTTGAAGATTTGGCCACCAGCTTCCTCCACTCCTTCCGGTCTAAATCTTTTCTGAGCGTGTGTTTGAGTTCCAGGCCTGTCCATTGTTGATGTTGTCCTCCCAACTCTTGTTCGGTCTGCCTGTGCTCCTTTCCCCCTGGACGCTGCCTCGCAGGATCATCTAGGCAAGGCCGGATGAACGGGTGATGTGTCCATACCAATGCAGTTTGCGTTTCCTGACCAGAGTGAGAAGGTCAGCATATGGTCCAATTTTATTTTGATCCTTTGTTTGACTTCATCATTTGTGATGTGATCTTTGTATGAGATACCAAGGATTTTTCGGAAGCATTTCATCTCCACAGCTTTGATCCTTCTTTCAAATTCTGCATTCAAGGTCCAGGATTCACAAGTATACCTGTTTTGTTTGTTTTTGTAAGTGTTTTACGACGCTCGCAACTGCATAAGGTCATATGAGCGCGCGGGACACATTAAACTTTTTCAGTTGGTAGGAATTTTTGAATTTTGCCCGGGTGGCGGCCGAAGCCTACTCTTATCGATTTTAGACCATCAAGGGATCTTTAACGGGAGCAACTTGCACACGGGCCCCCCGAGACTTTTTGCCCTTGTCCGAGAAGGCTAGGTGTAGATCTTTCCTATCAGAAGATCAGGGGTGTGGCTGAAAGACAGCAGTAAGAAGAAGCCAAGGAGTAGCCGTAGAAAGGCTGTAGAAAGAACCAGGAGCCAAGACGAGGGGGGCAAAGGAGATGAGGGAGTGGGGGCAGAAAGAGGAGACGAAAGCAGACGACAGAACATTGCAAGAGAGCAGGAAAGGAGGTGAAAGGAGACAAATTTAAAGAAGAACATTTTCCGGTCACTACCTGGATTCGAACCCGGGACCTTTGAATGAGAGGCCAACACCTTAACCTCTAGGCCACGAGAGCCCCCCTCACAAGTATACGAAAATACTGACATGACCAGGAAACGCATCAGTGTGATCTTTGATCTGATGATGATATTTCTGTCGTTCCAGATGGTTTTCAACTTTTTCATTGCTGTTGAAGTTTGCGCTGTTCTGGAGATTATTTCTGGTTTTGTTCCTTTGTCTGTCACTATTGCACCCAGGTATTTGAAGCTGCGTACGATCTCAAACCTCTGTTTGTTGACCTGGATACCCACTGTGATGTTCTTGTTGCTGTTAGATATCGATTGGTCTTTTCAGCGCTGATTTCCATGCTCTAGGCTGTGGAGGTCTTTTCAAAACGATCAAAAGCTGACTAATTCTTGCTCTTGTCCCACATGGCCGTCTATGTCGTCAGCAAAACGTAAGTTAGTAATTTGTTCTACCCCCAATACTGACTGTTCCTTCGTGATCTTCAGGTGCATCTGTCATGATTCTCTCCAAGAAAATGTTGAAAATTGAAAAGAGTGGGCGAGAGCAGACAAACCTGGCATACTCCCACTGTTGTTTGGAACCATTTCCCAGTGTTGTTGTTGAAAAAGACTGCGCTAGTAGCTTTGTTGTATAGCTTTTCTATGACGGTCAGTCTCTTTGCTGTTTCACGCTGAAAACGTGAATTCATTTCAAAAGTGAAAAACTCTATTATACAGTCTGTGCCGGCTTTAAGCACGCCGGCTTAAAGCACGTTTCGGACTTAAGCACGCTAAACGGCTCTTACCGAATTTTCGCTATATAAATTACACGCTTTTAAGCACGGTAACTTCGACTTCAAGCACGCTTCATTTACAAGACAGTCAATATTTTCATGATGACCCATCGAAGTTCGAACACAGTCTACACCGCAGCAGTGGAGTGTGTCAAGAGAAACACAAAGAACGCAAGTGATGGACACACACTCTCACGGGCGGAGAGAAAGGCAAATGCACACAGCCGCGCGCGCGGACATAGGGCAAAGCTACACACGACCCCAAAAAAGAATTATACTAAGAGAGTCGGGGAGACGAGAAAAGGAGGCTGGCTGCGATTTCAGCTTTG